CGTGGATGGAATTCAACTTGCAGTAAAAGCATTCAGTCTCTCTCGTCTCAAACGTAACTGAAGTAGGAACAGTATTAATCACAATTTAAACTGACTAGTAAAGGGCCATGTTCAAGCCCCAGATAATACTGTGTTGTAAATGAGGCTAATGGGGGAAATCTGTGCTTAGGGCTGCCAAATTTGCGTTCTGTTTGAAAAAGCTCCAGGTTTGCCTCCAAGACATTGTCTACAAACTGCTTTAGTTCAGCTCTCCAGGCTAGTTCCCCTTCACACATTACATGGTGACAAAACCGGGTTTGCCACATAGAGTTGACAGGGAAAGGTAGCCATCTGCATTGCCTGTATTTGCAAACATTTCTGCTGTATTCACACTTTATATGTGTTCTTCACTGCTTGGCAGGGGGTTGGACTCGATGGCCCTTGTGGTCTATTCCAACTCTATGATTCTATGATTCTTCCCTTCCCCTTTTCTTTTCACATCCTATGCTTTCTCACAATTGCAAACTTTAAAAATTCCTTCTTTATTTATGAACCCATCCCACCCTCATACATACTTATCTCAATATAAGTACATATCATTGTATTGAATACTGAATAAAAATAAATTAATTTCTAAAAAGTTAAGGTTTGTTTGGGGAGTGGAGATAATCAATTTTGGATCTGGGATTGCCTTTTAATTTTTAATTTTTGAGCTGTGACCACACATCTAAAAGTACTCGAAGGCTGTATTGCAACAGCAGAGCAAGTTCCAGGCTTTATGGGTTTTCCCAGCAAAAACACCCTCATTAGGCCAACTTAAAATGTGCTTTCTGCAACAGTCTTCTTTCCCTTTCTCTTCACAGTCATCCTCCTTCTTCCCTCTCACTCATCCCTTCTGCCATTACAGCCATTCTACAGTGGAGGAGGCATTGGGCAAGAGAACAGGATTTGTAGAGGACGACCAGAGCACGCCAGGCACTCTTGTCTTCCACTGCCTCCCGCAGTTTGGTCAAACTCATGCTGGTAGCTTTGAGAACACTGTCCAACTATCTCATCCTCTGTCGTCCCCTTCTCTTTGTGCCCTCAATCTTTCCCAACATCAGGGTCTTTTCCAGGGAGTCTTCTCTTCTCATGAGGTGGCCAAAGTATTGGAGCCTCAGCTTCACGATCTGTCCTTCCAGTGAGCACTCAGGGCTCATTTCCTTCAGAATGGATAGGTTTGATCTTCTTGCAGTCCATGGGACTCTCAAGAGTCTCCTCCAGCACCATAATTCAAAAGCATCAATTCTTCGGCGATCAGCCTTCTTTATGGTCTAGCTCTCACTTGCATACATCACTACTGGGAAAACCATAGCTTTAACTATACGTACCTTTGGCAACTATACGTGCTGGCAAGGTGATGTCTCTGCTTTTTAAGATGCTGTCTAGGTTTGTCATTGCTTTTCCCCCAAGAAGCAGGCGTCTTTTAATTTCATGACTGCTGTCACCATCTGCAGTGATCATGGAGCCCAAGAAAGTAAAATCTCTCACTGCCTACATTGATTCCCCTTCTGTTTGCCAGTGATGGGCCCAGTGGCCATGATCTTAGTTTTTTTTTATGTTGAGCTTCAGACCATATTTTGCACTCTCCTCTTTTCTTAAGCCAAGCAAAGACAGGCATCATGTATCAGTAGTTTTTGTTTTTTTTAATTGGCTTGCAGATTGGTGAATTTTCTCCTAAACCATTTAAAATAAACCTGATTGCTTGATAAATATTGGCCTGCAGTATTTTTTTGTCTTAGTTGCATTAGTGCAACTGAGCACATGGCAGAAATATTTTTAGCAAGGCACTTTATTGCTCAGTGTTTTGCCATGTAGACTATATAACTATAGACTGAATTTGTAAATAGTTTGCATTCCCATACACTGTGGCTGATGTTAATTGCTCTGCTATTTGTCTAAATGACTGCTATTGCTATTAACTGCTATGTGTGCTTACTAATTAAAGAGAAACTGTGCGCATATAATTTATGTTGGTTTTGCCTCAATACAGGCTATCCACTTTGTGACTGTTCAAACACACAGTTTTTCTTTACTGGAACTCATGATGAAGGACCTACTTTTTTGGCATACAAAAGCATCTGGAATGATATTCCAGTAACAAATCTGTCAGGGAACTGCCATCGGAGCCAGAGGGAGAGGGAGGGCTCTAGAGGGATTCCGGAGAGCGTCCCGGGAGGGAGAGAAGCAGCACATCTTCTGGGGAAGGAAATCAGCGTAACACCAGTGGAGAAGGGGGGCAGATGGGGGAATCGGCGAGGTGGCTCCAAGACTCCTCGCCGGGAACCAGTGGGGAGAGCACGGGTCCTCCGATGCCCACACCCTCCCTGCGCAGAAGGCTTCCGCGCAGGGAAGCTAGGCGGAGACTAGGCGTCAAAGAGCTTCTTTGCTGGAAGAAGTTCAAGAAACGCCCACTAACGGATTCTGCCAGCGATTGAGACAGTCACGGGCGCGTGGCTGTCCAGACAGAAAGGGTTCATTCAGGCAACCAGCCAAGGGTGGCATTGATTTACACACAGGCAACCCCTAGAACCATTACAAAATCAATTGCAAATAAAATGACGTACATATATGTTGACCTCATTGCTTACATTAACCCATAGGATCTTAAAAACAATTTCTGCAATCTCATAGAAGCATTAAAGGCAATTTACAAATGACAACAACAGTTCCTCTTGCATAAGAATGAAGTTATTCCTCAACGTCACTTATTGGGAAATTAGGAATCGATTATGGAGATATGTAGGAAATCCATTATCAAAAACAGGAGGTGGAGTGGTGATTGTGGTACTTTAGAGTCTTCTCTGGTAACATCTGTCATGAGCATTTGAAGGTAACCCCCTGCTTCATTTATATCCCTGAAATAGGCCAACCAATGGGAAGTTGGTATGTATATGTTCAAAATTCAAAGATTGTCAACACATATTGCATTCTATATCAGTTTTTTTCCTACAGACTGATTCTGAGTGACCTGGTAGTTGCAGAGAGAGGGGAGGGGTTAATGTTGTCCCATTGTCATGGACAGACCACTTGTGGGTGAGGCTTAGACAGACAGAGGCAGGTAAAGACCTGCATGTGTGGGGGTCCAGCTAGGATAGCCTGCCCCCACAGAGTGATGGAATCTGAAGGATTCCTGGATGCCCTGAGGGATTTTCCAGTTGGTATAGCGATGATCCTTTTGAGTCCCTGGTCCCACTGTACAACAAAACAATGGAGAGAGCCATTGACATGATTGTTCCCAAGTGCCCTCTCAGTCACTGCAGAACCTGATCTGCTCCTTGGTTGCCTTTGGGTGATGAAGCAGGTTGGAATGCAGGTGATGATGTGGCATTCGCACAGGGCCCCCGGTCGTTCCACGGACTATTGACCCTGCATCACCATGGCTTATCTCTTCCACTGCCACCAACCAGGTTTCCCCAGTAATATCTTCAGACTGGTTCAGTCAGGTTGTAACAAAGATTCCAATTTATTGTGAATGCAAACAAGTTTTAAATACTTTGTAAAACTGTAATCCAATTCACTCTGTCTCCCCCCTGTCTCTAACTCACTCTGACTCCTATGCCTCCCACCCACAAGAAACCAACCAAACTAACTGCCAAAACCCCTGTGTTGTGCCTTAAACACAGTTAGGCTCCGCCCCTGGGCTTTCTTATTGGTCAGCCTATTAACCTTTTCTCTCTCCCCCCCAGTACGACATCTCCATAACAAGTGGGCAAACACCACAGATGAGTACATGGTAGAGTGCATAATTGCATGTATCAGATGCCAGCTGCAAATAAATGTGTCCAAAAGTGGCTGTCTGGCTGTGCTCTTTAGGCTGGGGAGTAGGCTGGTTGAAGGTTCAGAAATTGGAACAACAGACCCTTCAGACGTGTGCTGTGACAAATTTGCAAAGCACTTTGAGGATAGTTAGTCAATTTGCAGATCTTGGAATTGCAGATCTTAGAGAGGTGTCCACAGCACTGCCTGGTCATTTCAGCTGGGATTAGGAATTAGACAATGCTTGCAGGGGTCTGACTGACTATTTGGTCTTTTGACCTTTGCCCGTCATGACTTGTAACAGCAAGCCAGGAAGGTCTGATTTGGTGGGAACAGGTTCTGAATGTTTCACTGGAGAGGTATATAATCCCCACCATGTTGAAAGCTGCAGTGGCACATTTCCTGCTCAAGAGTTTTAGTCCATTGCCAACATTCTGTTCCTGGGCATGATGATTGAGTGGGTGATTGCTGTGCAATGTAAGGGTGTACCTAGATGAAGCTGGTTATCTAGGCCCATTTGAAGATGTTGGTGCTGATAATGGGTGGTTCCTGTGTCCAGGAGTTGAGATGATGTCCTGCATTGGATGGGCTTGCACTCCACCTGTAGAACCCAGTATGTAGTGTGCAGTTATTCCTGGAACCTACATTGCCACTGGAAGCACTGGTGGCAGTGGTGGTGGGTAATGCTGATTTCCAGCTCTGACTGGATTCACTGGCTATATCTTCCAAGGACCGAGAGCTGAGCAGTGAGATGTGGAGGGGAAGAGTGAATGGCGAGGAGGTTGTATGCAAGTATGCATGCCTTGTGTGGTGTTGTGTGCATTTGTGTGCGAGAGGGAAGTAGCAAGTGGACACACCAACTGGCAGGTGTTTTGGCCCCATCCACCAAGTGTCGCCTGAAAGATTAGCCACGAGGGATGCTTGAGCTGAAAACCCAAGATACAAAACATCTTTGTTGGAGCAATAATGATGAATTAATTGAATATGTGTATCTCCTTCTATTTTATCTCTAGACATGTTTTCAATAAGTGAATCACAGGTTCCTTAATGCACAGCACCGTCATAATTGCCTTTATTCTATTCTCTTGACCAAATGAGTTTCCTAATGATTAAGAGAAATATGTGCAAGGCACATTGTACAACTTATATGTGTACTAATCACTCTTTTTTCTGAATTATGTCTTTCAGAAAACACACATGAGAATGTTTGCCTTCAGTAGCAAATGTATGTCATTATGAGCAATTATTTCCAGAGTTCTTTAATTAATGATCCTGCAGTTACCATCTTCGTACTTTGGTAATTATAGTTTGAAATAGTAATAATGATATTGTTATTTACTCGTATGCTACCAGAGAGATTTAAAATGCTTAATGTTTCAATATTTCCAGTTGGAACAAGTGAGGCGCAGGGACATTTTGACACTTTCCATACAACTAATCAAACAGCACTCCATCAGCATTTTAGCCTTTATGCGATATTACTTTTCAGAGAAAATAGAATTAAATATTGCCTTTATCATTGGGTGAGTAAGGAAGCAGCCCTGCTGTAGACATTCTGGTGTTTTGTTTAGAAATAAAGCAAACAATGAAAAAGAACAGAATAACATACTCATAAGGTAAAGGGACCCCTGACCATTAGGTCCAGTCGTGACCAACTCTGGGGTTGTGGCGCTCATCTCGCTTTATTGGCCGAGGGAGCCAGTGTACAGCTTCCGAGTCATGTGGCCAGCATGACTAAGCCGCTTCTGGAGAACCAGAGCAGCACAGGAAACGCCATTTACCTTCCCGCCGGAGCGGTACCTATTTACCTACTTGCACTTTGATGTGCTTTCGAACTGCTAGGTTGGCAGGAGCAGGGACCGAGCAATGGGAGCTCACCCCATCACGGGGATTCGAACCTCCGACCTTATGATCGGCAAGTCCTAGTCTCTGTGGTTTAACCCATAGCGCCAGCTCTGTGGTAAAACAGCTGCTTTTTCCATGTAGAATATTCCAGCCTCAGTCCCTGGCATCTCAAGGTAGAGCTGTGAATGTACACTGGAGATCCACTGCCAGTTTTCATAGACCACGCTGTCTTAGATGGACTAACGGTTTGATTTAGTATAAGGCAACTTCATATGTCCTTTCATTGCTGTGGTTATAGGCAGTGCTGTTTTTCTAGAAAAAGAGGTGCCAGAACTCACCATGAACACCTCTTATTGTTAGTCAAAATATACCCAGTAGGGGACCCAAGACCTTCCTAGAATGCCTCCACATTCCAAGTAGGAATTATAGCAATGCTGCAAACATATTGCGGTTTTAGTATTGGAAAATGTGACATCCCAGCAACAAAAGGGGATCTTTAAGAGAATATATGCAAACTAGAATATAACACACACTGACAGGGCAGTTCACAAAAGTGTCCTGTGTCCTTGAAGTACCGGTAGTCTGTATTCCATAGACCAGATAAGTGACCCCAGGCACAAGCAGCATCTGAGTAGTCAGTGCATGTACAGCACAGTACACAAGTTCTGTACCTACTCCTAGCACTTCCTTATTCTCTAAACGTTAAATGTTAGATTATTGTGAAATGCTTAAGAAGAAAATAACTCTTCAAACATCACAGGGGGATTTGATTTCTCTCTCTCTCTCTCTCTCTCTCTCTCTCTCTCTCTCTGTCCTTTCTTCCAGAAGTTCTGAACCTTGTACGGTACTGCGTCAGTTCATTCTGTATTGGTTTCAGAATGAGTCTGTAGTTCACTAGTGAGGTTTAAACACAAGTACTTTACAATCAATCGGTCAACCAGATATTTCCCGTGAATGGTACCTTTTGCTATTTATGTTGCCACGTCACAATACCCTCTTCAGGTGTTAATATAGCAATCTTATTCAACACAGGAGTGGAGACTCTTGGGAGTCAGGGCATACCAAGTAACCCTGCCCCAAGCTTTTGCATGAACAGTGTGACCAAATGCAGTGTTGAAGCCTTTGCAAGTACCGGTGTAGAGTGAAAGCTTCCAGGTGACTTAGAAGCAGATCATATAGAGTTCTGGTTTGTGTAGAAGTCTTTGTGTGTATGGCTGTGCATGTGAGGACTCCCTCACTAAAGATGGTTGCACTATTTCTTCAGAGGGTTGGGTCTGGGTTACTTAGTGTGTTTCTGCTCCTGTGTTCAATAACAGTAAAGGATTAACACTTTAGGAGGGCTAATGGTGTGCATAGTATATGCCTATTTATCAGATAATTGACTTCAGCATTTATTGTTATGACAGCACCCTTGCTTTCTTTCAACCAAGTTCATGTGTACTACAAAAAGAGATTAAATATGACATATGGAAAGCAGTGATGGACGATTTGAACCTCACCATTGAAGCACTCCCTACTAAGGTAAGCTCACAAAATAGATGTAAAGTAACAGTATTCAAAACAGAAATATAAATTGGGAGTGGTGAACCTGCGGGCCTGAACTGGCCCACTAAGCCACTGCAGGTTAGCCCACCAGCCCCTGGCAAAAATCACACACTCCATCACAATGCTGAGCTGATGACACAGCCCAGTGCTGCAATTGAAAAATCACCCCATTGCCATGCTGGGCTGAGAAAGAGGTGATTTAAATAAGTGTGTGCTGTTTGTGTGACAAATGTTTATTTGTGGATGCTAACACCCTCTCCTGTGGAGGTTAAAGAAATCAAAGCCATGGTCATGAACAGAAGGGAATAAAAAATATTTGCCAGTAGGAAAAAGACCTGAGGACATTTCATTTTGTTTCTTTTCAACATGATTTTTTGAACACATGCATATAAAGGCCATAAGAGAGCAAGACACCACTCTTACTTTTAAACCCTATTTAAATTTCTTCCAAAACGCAAAATTCAAAACACTGTTTTGAAGGATATGAATAATTCTATGAAAACAAGGGTGTGGATTAGATATTAAGTTGAATAAAAAAGACAAGAAATCATTGGGAAACACAAATATTGTAGTAAAATGTATGCAAACAAGGCCACAATGCATTTTACAAAATGTCCATAGTGAACAGTGCACAAATGGCTAAACTCAGTATTTTAAATGTTTCTACTTCTGACACAGTCATTAAGTCAGATCTTGCAGTTTAGATTCCTCCCTCACTCTAAATCAAAGAAATGTAATCTACATACTATTGCACTGTATATAATACTTTCCAAAATAATTGCATAAGCATATAAGGCTGCAATCCTATGGACACTTACCTAAGGGTAAGCTCCACGGAACAAAGTGAAATATATTTCTGAATAAAAAGGCATAGGATTGCATTCATTGTTAATGCTATGGGGTCATGTCAAACACTTTGATAATTAAAGGACTGTAAAAATTAATTGCAATTTGTTATTTCCTTCCTCTCTTAACCGCAAGTGTTTGGTTATCAGAAAAAGATTCTTGGCAAATTTTCCAGTAACACATTTCTCAGACAATCCACTTCTGCATGATTGATTCCAACATTTCCCCTTTGTCTTCTTCAATTGTCCTTTCTCTGAAGACATTTGAATCTTTAAAGCTATTTTAATTTTTTTAATGTCTACCATTTGAAATAAAGCACAAAATAACTCTTTTCCTAAAAGCATGATTCAGATATGATTCAGTTAGCACTGCAGGGCAGATATGCTAAAAGGCTGCCCACTTTCAGCTTTCTTCAACACCCGTTTGAGAAATTGCAGATTTACGGTTAATTTTAGTGGCTGCCAAATTGCACCCATCAGATGTTAAGACCTTCCCAAAAACCTCAGCATTTAGGTTTCCAGTGATTTCTAATTTCACCTTTTGAGCAATGACTTAGATGGGAAGAAATCTTAACAGTTTATCGTCACTCAGTTCTGAAACTGTTGCTTACAAAGCTATTACTTTTGTTTTTCAGATTAATGCCACTTTATATACTGCAGACTTAAAAGATTTTGTGAGTACATTTTGTAATTCAAATTGATCTCATATAAATACGTTGTATACCACCTGCAAAAGACAAGTTCCTCGCCATCTTGGGAGGAAAGGCAGCGTGTGGGGTGCTGCAGGGATCTGTCTTGGGCCCATTGTTGTTCAACATATTTATAGATGACTAGGATGAAGGAATTGAGGGGATTCTCATCAACTTTGCAGGTGACACCAGACAAGGAGAAGTAGCCAATGCCACTAAGGACAGAACTGGGATTCAAAATGCCCTTAACATCTTGATATAGTATGGCTTTTCTTTATGTTCTTATGAACAGGGGCGAAGAAAGGCTAACCAGCACCTGGGGGCGCAAACCACACGGCAGCACATGCGTGGTGCCACTACGTATGGTGCATGCGCAATGCCATTACGTACGGCGCACAAACATGTGCCATATGTGGTGGCGTTGCGCACGCGCCACCGGGTAATTTGCCGACGGCGCCACTCGAACGCCATACGGACGGCGGTGGGATCCTCCGCTCATGGTGGTGGCGCGATGGCGGCGGCTCGCGGCGCTGCGCCCCAGGGTGGCGGGGCGAGACCCCCTTGGGGTGCCTTCTTGTCATCCCCTTCAGAGATGGCACCTGGGGTGAACCACCCCCTTGCCCGCTTCCTCCGCCACTGCTTATGAGGCAACTTACTGGCCAACATCAATTATCAATGGACAATTTCACATGAAAACATTATTTCTGATACTTACTGGAAATGACTGGCAACGGAAGAACTACCCTGAAATTGTCTTAGTTTAGTTCTGATTCAGATTTAGCAATTCTAATGGTTTGAGGATTTATTTTTCACTATAATATTCCCCACCTCAAAATTATATTTTCTTAATGTTATTTATATTTTTATCCCATCCTTTCCCTCCAAAGTTCAGAGGGGTCCACAAGCTTCTCTCTATTTCCCCACCTTCCCCATTATATCTGAAGGAAAAACACTGTGGGTGTCATTCAACTAAGTTTTACTCAGAGTAAACTTGATGAACTTAATCATGTTCGTTCATTTCAGTCAGCCTAGTCTGAGCAAAACTTTGTTGAATACCACTCTGTGAAGTAGGCTGAGAGAGACTGGGCCAAAGTTGCCTAGATGTGTATCAGGAGCAAGGTTTTGCACCTGAATCTCCCTGGTCTTAGTTTGGCCCTCTCAACACTAGTCACACAAAATATATGTGTCTATTGATTTACTGTAAGTGTAGCTTTCTTTCATGGTGGGCTTTCGAAGCAGTAAAACCATACAGGTCTATAGTCAAGCTTTATTCCTTAAATCATTTTTACCCCACTCTTCAACAAAAAAAGGCTCTCAAAGCAGCTCCCAAATCAAGGATACAAGCAATAAAATGGCAAATATATTTTACAAATGACTCTTCTGCATGTGCTTACAGATGTAATGTGTGAGGCAGTTATAATTATTTGTCTGGCAGGAACTTGTGCAATAATAGTTATTGAGGGGTGAGAGGGTCATTTCTCCCCCTCCCCCCATGATCATACTCTGAATCAGGCAGGATGCCCTGAATTCAAGGGAAAGGCCATGTCTGAATGAGACTTGAGAAGTTTCATATTATAAACCCATTGATTTTTCCTACTTTCCAGAATGACTGTAATTTATCGGTGGTGAAATGCTTTCAGCTTGAGATGGAAGTAATTTCGTACGAATATAAATTTGAAAATGATACAATGCTATGGAACAAAGTAGATAAAATAATCCACAATGTTAAATACCTTTTGGAAAATGACAAACAGGTGAGTTTAACCTACGGGCAAAATTGCATGTCTGTTGCACTGTAGCCACATTAAAGGAATTCCTAACAGACTTTTCTCCCTTGCAAAGCAACTCAAGATTTAGATCAGAAAATGGAGAGAAAGGAATGAACTGTTGAATCCTTGCCCTGTAGTTTCCCCCCAATTTATTCCTTTAGGCTTCCAAGTAGGGACAGGCAAATTTGACAATTTTGGTTTCTCGGAGTTTCTCACTTTTCTAGGCATAAGTTCATTTCTCCACATTTCCTCATCAATTTGCATTTAAAAACAGAGCAAATTTCTCCTAATCTGCACATTTTTGTACACACATTACATGAATAAATGCATTTTGTATGCATAACTTGGCTGGAGAACCACATTGCAAAAATTCAAAGGATGGCTGTATTTTGGTTTGTGTTTGGCTTCCAAAAGCTAAAATCAGGTGTGTTTGTTTTTCAATGCAAACTAAATTGAATTCCCCCCAACCCCTACTTCCAAGACTATGTTTACAAGGATGTGGTTTTCGGATAGAAATCCATTGTTCCATCCAGATCCTCTCAAATCTGTTGTAAGTTATCCTGATAATATTTTGCCATTTCTACGTTCATACCAGCCCAAGGATCCCAGTCTAGAATGTTCCTGTGGACGAGAATTCGCTAGAAACCTTTAGTGTAGAATAGGTGAATTCAAGATATGTAGCGGAAATGTACCCTTTGCAGAAAAGTTACAAGGAATTGAAAAGGGGAGCTTGTGAAAGTGAAATCCCTAGTTCTGTTCTGTGTGTGGAGATGCAAGTTGAATAGGGCCTGGCTTTTAGCCTATTTATACCTGTTGAGGATCAGAGCTCAGTCAGCTTCTGCCTCCGTTTCACCCTTCCTCATCAAATGAGAAGGAAGGAAAAGAGGGTGGTTGCAGTTGGAAGTACTCTCCCAGCACCACTCTCAGTGCCCATGCCCTCCAGCATCCCACCTTGGATGGAAAGCACAATTCCTGCTGAGCAGGGAACATTCTCCTTCAGTTGTACATGCAAGACCTGCTGCTGCTGTCTCAACATCTCAAGCAGGAAAAAGGCACTGCTTCCATCAAGAAAGAAGGCCCCACCAGGGCAGACTTTTCCATTGGTGTGAATAGCACTCCACAATCCTCCAGGAGATCCCTTCTGCCCAGGGAAGTGGGGTGGCCTGGGAAGGGGAGACCCTGCTCAAGCACCTTCGGGGGCGGGGATTTGCATGCATTCACTTCAGATTTGCAGAAATCTCTTAAGGCTACATGCACATGCTACTGGTTTATGAGCAAAGCCCTGCTAACAGAAACTGCAGTCATTCTAGAGAGCAGGAGGCATAGTATGCTGAAATGTGGTCACAAGGATGTTAGTGGCTGACTAGAAATCCCAAACCAAGGACCTGCCATAAGGAAGAAAATTGTCTGTCATGTCTCTCTTGTGTCTTACTTTCCTCTCAATGTTTTTTTAACGAATTGCTTTAACAATGCTAACTTTTTTTAACCTTTCATTTTTACAGGAAACGAAAACATCCAAGTGGCAGCAGTGTGAAACATTTGCAGAAAAAAACTGCACAGATTTTTTAAAGAACTTCAAAACTATGGCACAAATGTGCTACACAGAGTTAAATGCCAAATGAGATTTCACTGTAGCAGGAAGGAATAACTTATTGCCTCCTAGAATTGAAGAACTAGGAAAATAGAACAGGGTCAACGTAGAACAGGTGGTGGTAAGTTAACACCATTACAAACTTGGCAAGAATCCTGCAATTGAATCCTGCAGTATACCTTAAAAAAAGATTACCCATTTACAAAATAGGGCTAACATTGAGCCTCTTTATATTTGGCTTCTATAATGTGGATTCTGGAGTCCTTAACAAGCCATTGTAACTTAAAATTCCTAGGAAGTTTGAAAGGAGCATATGGTGCAGAAGGAGAAGAGAGTGTGAATCACACGAAACAGCCTGTGATGCATTGTTAGCCTATGTGTAGGGAACCATGGCCCTCCAGATGATGTTGAACTACAACTCCCATCATACTTTGTGATTGGCCATGCTTGCTGGGGCTGACAGGCATTGCAGTGCAGAAACATCTGGAGGGCCAAAGGTTTCCCTATTCTGGGGTAGATGGTATTAGATGGATACATGTTACAGAGCAGAAAAGTAGCCGTATGTAAGGGGGCTGAGTACTTAATACCTCCCATCATATGTTTTGTGTGGCCCCCTGTCTCATTAGTTCTGTGGATTTTTTAATTTATTTTGTGCTGTTTCGTATCAACTTTATGTGAAGGTGATTGCTCTTGAGGTGGACACTCTTATCAAGGGTGAGGGTTATCAAGCAGAAGGAATAACTTTAAAGGAATTAAATGACTTCATAAAGAGCCTCTCCTGCATTTTAAACAACTGGGACATCTGTTTGATAGTTAATAATATCTGAGTTTCACATTTTTATGGTCACACTCGGATTAATAGTTTGAGAAAATATGATATCCTTGTAAATGGGGAGATGAGTGAGAGATTCCAGTCACATTATATTCTCCTCAAATGCAGGAACAAGCCTTGTTGAGCTGTGAATGGTCTCTCATTGGCACTTAGCTATCAACATGGTCAATTAAGCAAACTTAGCCACTGTGGAAAGAGTGGTTGTTTGCCCATTAAACAAGAAGCCCGGTTATTCAGAAGTAGGAATGAAGGGCAAAAATGAACTCTTAACAACCTTAGCTCCTCAAAGATCTGCCTGAGGCCAAAGTATTAGATGTTAGCCACCTAACAATCAATTTTTCATTTTTGATAACATAATCAGCTTGCAGACTTGGCAAATTTTCTAAAGAGACGATGGTTATTCAATCTTCTTTCTCCTATATTTAGCCCTTATGAGTGTCCTTGAGTACCATATTTGCTGCATAGCAGAACATACATCAACCTTACAATTAACTAGAAGTCACATTTCTTCCAGCCTTTGAGATTGCTGATGGTGCTATTGCAAATATTCGTAGTTTGCCCAGACTGTTTCATCTTTCCAATTAATAAGAAAAATATCCTTTGTATTATGAATGTAAATATATTTAATAAAGGTGAACCATGGGCCAGGCTACAACCCCACTTACTTTGGAAATTACATTTTTCCACCTTCCCTTTTCTGGTTCTATAATTTTGTTGTGGTCTCCCATCTCATCCTGGCAGTCCAGAGATAATAATGCTCATCCTCTCCTAGCTATAGAACCAGTTTACCAGTTCCTAACTTCTTGGATTGACTGGGTGTCATCACAATGGGGAGAAGACCCAGCCCCAAACCATTCCTTCATTTTTATTTATTGCATTTATTTATTCATTACATTTATATACTATCCATATTACAAAGTCTTCAGGGCCATTTGCAGTGCAGTGGAGATGCAGTAAAATGTGTAAACAATAAATCTAATTATAAGCAGTACAAAACAGCAGTAGAGAAAACATATAAAAGCCAGCAAAAACACAGCAGCATTCACTCCATTTAAAACCACTGTAGACAGCAGCGGCTGTCAAAGTTCAGGCTTGATGACCTGAGTCTGCACTAAGAGACAGCCAAGATGGTCTCTGGACTCTTTGGCAGCCTCGGCTTTTGTAGCTGGAGTTAGTCAGGGCCACATCCTCCCAGGCCAGTGGGAAAAGGCCTTCCAGGACTCACAGCCAAAATATTATGGAACAAATACTAGACCTGAATTTGGAAGCAACAAGTCTTTGGCCATAGTGTGGCCACTGAGGGTGGATCCACACCATACATTCAAAGCACTCTTGTATCACTTTAATAGTAATGGAGAATACTGGGAACAGTAGTTTGTTAAGCCTGCTGGGAATTGTGGCTCTGTCAGCGCCCTTAACAAACAACAGTTCCCAGGATTCTTTGGCAGAAGTAACGTGGTTTAAATGTATGGTATGTACGCAGGCTGACACTGTAATTGCCTCCACACACAAATTATTCAGGAAAGTATCTCTTCTGGTTGTGTAAGATAACATACAAGAATGGAAATACCTGCAAGGCAATCTCACAGATTCTTCTAGATTTGCTGAAACTTTTATGCCTTTGGGGATGCCGCAGGAATATAAAAGAGCTGTCTCAGATTGTGGTCTAAATCCCTCAGCAAAAATGATGGTTAAAGACACACAAAGGTCATTTTATTGCTTTTAATGATACTGAAAGCTTATTCTGTAGTGTAAATTAGCAATCTGGTATGATCAGATTACAGTGATCTATCATTACATTGTAGATAACCTTAGATTTTGCTTCTTTCATTCCTCATTATCATGGTCTTGCACACAGTAAGACACTTCTGAGGTTTGCCAATGCAACTCCTCATTTGGAAAGGTATTCCTAAGAGACCTGACAGATTATGTGAAAGTACAGGACTACTGATGAATCTCACTAAAATGACAGGTTTCTATTATGTTGTCCATGTGATGTTCTCCTCCAAATGTGTGATGTTTTCTCATACTGAAGGAATGGGTTTCCAAAACCTAAAACCTGACTGAGCAGTCAGTCTGAAACAGGCCCCAAAATCCGCATTTTTCCTTCTCCAAGGGAGCATTTCTAAAATGCTTTAACTTGAGCTGTTGAGCAAATGCATAACAGGAACCCAGCTGTATAAACAAAGCACTCTCACTTATCAGTCCATGAAGGCTGGTAATGACGGATGGCCTTGTCCATTCCAAAGTGGAGCAGGGATGGCACGTCTGGGTCTTATCTTACATCCTGACCACACTCTGACACACAGACCTAGTCTGGGAATGGCGCCAGGAGTGCTCTTAGAGTTGGTGACCTTCTTACCCCAAGATAAGGAATACAGGAACAGGAACACCCTTATATGGTCAAGAGTATAAGAAGAGGAACACCCTTTTATGGTTAAGAGTACCGGAGCAGGAACATCTGTGGTGTCAACTTGTGTGTATAAGCTGACGTGGTTGGATTCCTGGGGAAGGGGGGAGAGGGTGCCTGGAGGATATATATACTGCATGAAATTTCTCATTTCTTTGGACTTGCTGTGAACTGACCACGCAAGTGCCTTCTGCTATCCGGAGAGCAGAATAAACTCTTTCTCTGAATCAACCTCAGTGTCATTTGACTTCCTTTCTCCCTCCCGGGAGCAACGCAGACCCCACCAGTCGGTAAAGTCTAATAAGGCTACAATACCGGAGATACTCTGAAAAGGAGAGGGCATGAGATAATTCAGATTGGGGGAGGAGGAGTGTGGGATGGCTGTGATTTAGGATAGAATGTCATATGGACAAGGGAGAATGGATGGAAGTACATGAAGCTTACTATCTACGTTGAACAACAGTATGGATGATCCCCACGTCTAAAGTGATTCAAATTGAAATTGACTCTGGAATTGCTCTGCTTGAGACAAGCTTTTTAAGGCACCCTTCAATCAACATTAAGCTTTTAAAGTCACATTGATTTCTAAGGACAGTTAATATGCTTAAAGCCACAGCAATCAATTGGACTAAGTCTTTAACCTGGTTTAGATTAAAGCAGGAGTGAGGAGCCACCACTCCAAAGGCATGATTCAACTAATAGGACTTCACCATCTGGAACACAAAATTTGTTCCTTGTCTCCTCCCCGTGCACAGAATATGCTCCGATTGGAACGAATGAAAGCCTGCTCTCAAACCTAACAGCTATACAGGAGACCTTTATAAGGCAGGAAAATGTTAACTCTTCAGTGCTCCATTTATTATTATTATTATTATTTTGGAAGCAGCTGATTTCAAGCCTAATAACTGCATGGGAGAGGCAGGACTCAGCTATACAACGCAAATGAAAATGTTTTAAGTGTGTTTTAAGTGCAATATACAATGTGACACAAGATGGCGATGGTGAGCCTTATGGAAAATTCAATGTATATTTGTAAAAAAGCAGTTTCAGAACGGTTTTTATATGTGTCTAGATTCCACCGCAATCTCCATGAGGATCACTCCCAATGCAGCAATTAAGTGAGGGATACGGAGCTCAAATTCTTTTGTCAAGCCTAAGTGTGTGAGTTTTAAGTGTGGATACATGTGGGTTTTATGTGTTGGTGGGTATGATTGGGAATGTGTGTGGGAATGTACATGAATTAATGCATGAATGTAGATAATACGAATGTGTGTAAGAGAGAAGGTGGTCTTCTCTACTTTTTGCACTAGCTCTGTCCATCAGTGGCCTGAGGGAATGTGGTCCATGAGAGTGAAAAGTTTCCCCACTCCTGCTCTAACAAATCTTATTGCTGGCAAAGGTGTGTCCCCATCTGAGCTAATGTCAGATTTTAGGGAAATTGTCAGAAATACTGAATTAGGACATCTGCAGTGCAGTTGGTGGCTCTAATGTCAAAGTTTCTTGTACTTTCATGAAAAGAAGCTCAGATTTATTTCTAGATAAATAGAGACATTAGCAAAGCAGGTACTGTTTATGTCCTCCTGGAAAGCTTTTGTCACATGACTGTATACAATTTTTTTATCTAGATATATAATTATCCATTGTCCTAAAGCCTGCTTAAAAAGACATTTCTATTGAAAGAAGATTTTAGCAGGACAAAGGCTGCCCTCTTAACTTTATTATTCTTTTCTTTAATCTAAAACCTTGATTTCCCCAGTGTCATTATACACAGCCCAGAATTATTTCATTTAAATTCTCCTTTATAGAATTTTCTGTAGGTGATTATGCCATATCCCATCCTATTGTTCTTCATGCTGTCTCGTAGGGTAGTCATAGAAAATTGAACAGGGATTAAAGCAATGATAATATTCTATTCATCTTATTCTTAAAGCCTGTAAGCTTTAAATAGAGGACAATATCATTGAAGCTCCTAGTTCCCTGGGGGGAAATCAGCATATAAAACTCTATGGGCAGGGTATAACTTTTGAGATTAAACATTTTAACTAAATTTGTACATACAGCTTCAAATTTTCCCTTTTGTGACAACGAAGAGTAAGTAATGTTTGTTTTTTATATATATTAATAGAAGTCCCCAAACAGTTCTGTTTTAAATTTTTGTATGTTTGTTTCCAGGACTGCACAGCAGTTCAGTGAGAACAGAAGCCTGTGGAACTTATGAACAGTTATAAAAGCTTATAACCAGGTGGTCTGTTGAGACTCCAGCCATCTGGTGAGAGATAAAGGCACAGCATAATTAAATATAACAATTATGGAGACAGGATTTGGGATGGGGTGGGGACAATGGTTGCAGCCAAATTCTGCAAATAAAATAAAATGGGGACAAATGAGGTAAAGCAGAATGATTTCCTCATAATCTGTCACTTGCGCTGTCTGAGCTGTAAGCATTGTTTGTCATCTACAATTGCTGCATGTTCAGTTAAGGCCAAACTGGACATGATGTACAAGATCTGTGATTAGTCTCTCCTGGTGCTTTTTCTTGTACAGACAAGCAGTCTTATTATGGGGCTGCTTTGAAGACTGCAGAAGAAATACTCTGGCAGAGGGCACTTAAGGGTTTCCTTCCATGCCCTTTCCCCCCATTCTGCATTGCTCCCCCTTGTCAAAGCCAAAGAACTCTGAATTTTTAACCACCTGCTTTAAAAAAACTCTCCAGTTCTCATGAATAATAATAGCACAGTTCAAAGTGTTGGTGCTGACCTTTAAAGCCCTAAACGGCCTCGGTCCAGTATACCTGAAGGAGCGTCTCCACCTCCATCGTTCTGCCCAGACACTGAGGTCCAGCGCCGAGGGCCTTCTGGCGGTTCCCTCACTATGAGAAGCCAAGTTACAGGGAACCAGGCAGAGGGCCTTCTCAGTAGTGGCACCCGCCCTGTGGAACACTCTCCCACTAGATGTCAAAGAGAACAACAACTACCACACTTTTAGAAGACATCTGAAGGCAGCCCTGTTTAGGGAAGCTTTTAATGCTTAATAGGTTATTGTATTTTAGTGTTTTGTTGGAAGCCGCCCAGAGTGGCTGGGGAAACCCAGCCAGATGGGTGGGGTATAAATAATATATTATTATTATTATTATTATTATTATTATTATTACTACTACTACTACTATCCATGTGGCTAAAAGAGTCTTAAAATAAAGGGGACAATAGTCAGAAGACAGGACTTTTCACCACTAATTTCCTATGACCTCTTCACCATGTCACTGGACCATACAGGTCTTCTCTACTTCTGGTTTTTTCCCATGAGTACTAGGTCTTTACTTTGGAGTCACTTAAAAAACAACAACGGGGGAAAGGGCACACAAATTCTACAAACAAAGATTCTTCAATGAAATGTGACAATTCTGCAAATAATATGAAACAGGCAAAAGATGCAAATATCTGTATACTTCCCCTGTTTGCATAATTTATTGTAATTTCAGAACCTGTGATTTATGCTCACAGAATTTGAATGTGAGGAGATGGTTTGCAATAATACCACTACATGGTAGATCTATGAATTACAACCTTTATGTGATCAGAAACCTTTTCTGGGACAAGAGGACGCACATCCTGCAACCAGGACAAAATGGAGTTAAAGTAGTTGAGGTTCCTGCATGGCAGGAGATTGGACAAGATGACCCCAAGGATACCTTCCAACTCTACAATTCTGCTGTAACCATATTAAATGACCTTGTGAGCAACCCACTTCCAGTCCCAGATGATGAACAAACATCTCTTGTGAGATGACTCATCATCAGTTTCTCCACAACACCACCCAAATATCTCTGTTCTGCTTTCAAAAGCCATTACTGGAATCCAAGAATCCAAGGTAGCTGTGAGCTCAAGCACCATGTGTTCTGTATACTTTTAAAAATGCCTTCCCTTGGGTTGTAAATATATTTTTATAAGCTCACTAGAGGAAACAGCTGCTGTGTCTGTTAATAAGAATCCTCCTCCCAGGCTTTCAGCAAGCATGACCTTGTCAGCGGTTGCTCAACCCAGGAAACAATGTGGCATGTTTGCTCTTATCTGGTTCAGCCTGCAGAAGTTCCTCTTCAGACAATGAACATTGCATCCTTTTATCTCCTGCAGGAGCATCTAATGATGGCAATAAGAAGAAGTATTTTACTCACTCAATGCCAGTTTCATGTTTCCTACTCATGGCTCTTTTCAGGCTCCCATCTGTTTTACAACCTGGTCTGTTTGGGCAAGAATAACAATAGTCAAGGTCTCAAATGCAAGACATACAAGAGAATATCTCATCCACCAGCTAGCTAAAATTAACCAAATACTGAAGTACTTTAAAGGCTAACACATTTATTATGGCATAAGCTTTTGAGGATTTAGGCCCAACTTGTCAAATACAGGAAGTCCAGAAAATAGTATTAATTTTTTTGTATGTATAGGATGAATATACCATGATTTATCTTTTTTTGGAAATCTAACTTGTGGAACAAAGGAACGTAGGAAGCTGCCTTATAATGACACAGACCATTGGTCTATCTATCTCAGTATTTAGTAATAGTAATAGTAATTCTATACCAACCTCCTTCCAAGGATCACAGTGTGGTTTTAAATAGAAAAACAACCTAGTAACAAACAAAACCAATATCCCCTAGTTTAAAAGCCATATATTGTTATTCTATTGTTATTTATTAAATGTATGTCTACACCATGGGTAGGCAAACTAAGGCCCAGGGGCCGGATCCAGCCCAATCGCCTTCTCCATCCGGACCACGGATGGTCCGGGAATCAGCGTGTTTTTACATGAGTAGAATGTGTCCTTTTATTTAAAACGCATCTCTGGGTTATTTGTGGGGCTTGCCTGGTGTTTTGACATGAGTAGAATGTGTGCTTTTATTTAAAACGCATCTCTGGGTTATTTGTGGGGCTTGCCTGGTGTTTTGACATGAGTAGAATGTGTGCTTTTATTTAAAACGCATCTCTGGGTTATTTGTGGGGCATAGGAATTCGTTCATCCCCTCCCCCCAAAATATAGTCCGACCCCCCACAAGGTCTGAGGGACAGTGGACCGGCCCCCTGCTGAAAAAGTTTGCTGACCCCTGGTCTACACTGACAGAAAGCAGCTATCCAGGGTCTTAGGCAATAGTTTGTTCTAATATACAGTTACTGGCTCACACTTATATTCATAAAAGGGTTAACCTGAGCCCTGAGCTCAAGCTACCAAAGTGGGTGTGACTTGGCAGGCTCAAAGTCTCTTTTGCTACCCACCCCCACCTTTGTCTTTTTTCTCCTCCTGTTTCCTGGAACAAACAAGAAGCCATGTGGCCATGGCTCCCTGCAAGTGAAGCGAATCTCTAAAATTAGATTTCATAGCCTGCATCTTTGCTAACCCAAAGATTGTATGATCCTTTTTGTAAGGAAACCAAGTAACTTGATTTTTAAGGTCATTCGAAAGCCTTTTTCATCTGTTTCATCTTTGTTTTCGATAACATCTGGAAACTCTGAGTAAAACATCCACTTATTTGCAAAGCTAAGTGTCATAACTCTATCAACTGAACTATGGTCCTTCCTCACAAAGTGTCTCCTATCTTTGCCAAAAGAAGCATTTTACCCCTTCTGTGACCCCCTTTTTCGGTTGCTGCCAATGTAAAAATATAAGAAATGATAAATTCAAAGTTATAATAACAACTGACCACAACTTCTCTTACACTGACTTCTCATTGAAATCTTCAAGTCAGTGCTTATAGCAATTTCTTTAAGAATACTTTTATTTTATCTGACTCTAACAAACTAAATACTATCTGCCACTTTCTTGTTCAGTGAAATGTGTCCCTAATAACTGCTGTCTCAATTTAACAACACATTTGGTTTTTCAGAGATAATATTATGGTACTGGACAAGGGAATAATTGTTTCATTGGGTATTGGTGGCTTATGCATGGATATAAATCTTATAATAGTTTTATTGGCACCATGACATTTTCTCATTAGAAAAATCTCCAGAGGCACTGCTTTTTAATTAAATTGTGTTGAAGTTAGTAATGTTGGCCTTGAGGAAAAGATCTAGCTATTTCACATTGGAAGTCTCTTTGTATTATTATTATTTACGAATTAAAGTACAGTAATTGAAACTGCTACAAACAATTCCTCATTATTCAAATCTGTTGCCTTCCAACCTCAAGGAGATCTCATAAGCATTAGGTGGCTATAAAACGTTTTATTAGCTTTTTTAATGGTGTCTGAACTACTTCCCTTCTGAATGTATTTAGCTCCTGCAGTAATCTCTTTTGGACAATTTTCAGTTTAATATTCCTAGAGGAATAGCTGCACACAAATTGGATGCTGGATGTGGTCACCAAATGTAAGTCACCATTAATAGTGATCTGTGCTGAAATGCCAAAACATCATACACTTAGTACTGGTTATCCAGCTGGTACTGAAAATTGTTAGATCCCTATTCCCATCACAGAGCTACAAGTCCCAGGAAGAAGGATTGATTGTTAAACCATCCTGGGAACTGAAGTTCCCTGAACAGAATAGAGGTCTTCTAGCAACTCTCATCACCTTAACAAACTACACTTCCCATGATTCTTTGGGGCAAGCCATTGCTAAAGTAGTATGATACTGCTTTAAATATATAGTGCAGATGGGGCTGGATTGCCCAATGGCAAATCCTACCATGCTATCTTCATACTGCCTTCTACACACTGCTGTAGCACTTTGAGTCTACCACACAGCACTTCATAGTGTGCAGCCCCTGTGGTGATTTATTATCACACCTCCCTTGGTTGACTGTACCTAGAATTGTTAACATAACACTTGTTCCTTCTGGCTCCCATACAAAGAAGGATGATAGAGGCTGAGAACTAATCCTGATGTACCTTATTTTTTAAAGGGTCATGAAAGCTGAACATGGTACAGGACCGTGAAGGCATCTGTAATGCTAAAGCAATGTGAAAACATATCTTCAGTGAAATTTGAGTGCTTTCCCTATCTCAGCCTAAAAGGAAGATATTGCATTTACTTTATTGATTTATTTAACTAAATTTTAAAAAGAATCCTGGGAACTGTAAAATGATATAAGTGTACTTTAAACATAGGGTGTGGATGTGACTTCTGTACACTCCAGATTCTTCTTTCATGGGCAAAACGTTGGTGCTTTTTGATTCTGGTGCCCTTTTGCCAGGGATGCAAAAGAAGGACCTCAGAGAATGTGCCATTGATTCATCTTCTGTGGATGTAGATTGAGATGTTGCAAACACCTCACATAATATGAATTCAAGTTGTGCAGTTCAATCTGGAACTGCAAAGGAAGAATTAGCAAGATACAATTGCATGGTGTCATATGATGTTGTATGACTGACAGATGGACAGCCTTGCTCTCCTGTGATAGTGGCAGACAAGGTCTTTCCATACCTGGCTCAAGCCTTCTGACCAGATCCAATCCCCTACTTTAAAGGCTCAAAGAACCAAAAAATCCAGTTGATTATGTTATTTTTCTTATAATTTTTCCTAAGTTTGACACCTATGCTTTTGACCCCCTCCCCCAGATCTTACATGCTTTTTGAAAGTGACCTCTGATGAAATCTAAGTAAAGAGTCCAGTAAGTAAAGATCGTTTAACATATAAAAACCTCCACTGACAATTTGATCAATGGAGGTTAATATTGATTTGACTATAGTATACAAAGAATGCTGTGCTGCATCTTCTTCTTTACAGCAGTCTAGAAAAGGATGCTTTAACTGATGGGTTTTAACTGCGAGCTACACTCATGCATATAATTCATGCCCATTGATTGAGATTCAGAGAGCTACGGAAGAGATATCTGTGATTGCAAATGGCTCTATGGGATTGTTTTGTCTCTGCAGAGAGTACAGTGGGTACAGTGGGACATCTGCATGTTTAGCACGAGAGAGGTGCTTCCATTTTCCCCAACCTGGTGCCCTTCAGATGCTTTGGATAACAAGTCCCATCAGCCCCAGCCATGACTCCAGGTTGGAGAAGGCCAGTCTGGATTATTTAGCCACATGCAGGAAACCTGATATGCTGTATGGATTGAGTTTATTGGTGGCTTGTGGAGACAGAGCCATTGACAGGCAAAACCAGTGAATTCTAATTTCATACCTTCCAACATTCCTCAGATGAAAAAAGGGATATTTCTCACTCCCCCAACCCCAAATGACCCTCACATCCCCATTTTTGCCCCCTCCCAACAGAGCATTTCCACCACCAACAAACCAACAGAACACAGCACACACACCTTCCACTGTCCTGGACACACAAAGCATCAGCGGTAGCAGCGGTGGCGGTGATAGCTTCTCCTTGCCCACTCTCCAGCAGCTGCTATAAGCCTATGAGCTGCCTTAGGAAGGAGGCCTGCAGTGGTGGCCATGGAGAAGCAATGAGAGAGGCAACAGGATGTTCCCTCACAGCCGCCACCGCTGCCAAGAGGCAGAGCTAGCTGCTCCAGCACCCGGAGCAGCGCACATACTGTGGACCCGGGGGCTAGCCACCCGTGGGGGTGGGGCCGGGCGATCGTCCCAGGGAGTGCCACCCGTGGTGAGTGTCCCAGGGGGGTGTCGCCCGCAGTGAGCGTCCCAGGGGGGTGGGGCAGCGATGTCAACCCCCCCTCAGGGATGACACCCAGGGCAGACATCCCCCACTGCACCCCTTCCTCCGCCAGTGCCACTGCTGCCACCGCTGCTCAGGACAAGTGCTGGCTCACCCTCCTCCAAGCTTGGTGGTGGTGGCACCAGCAGGGGGAAAAGGGACATTCTGGGATGAAATCAGAAACCGGTATGGCTTCCGTAATTCCGGGACTGACCCTGGAAAATAAGGATACTTGGAAGGTATTTAATTTTGTCCCCATCCCCCTCAGTACTGTGTACTACAAGGGCAACACTGAGACTAAGGAAGAAGAAACTGACAACCAAGACCCCCCACTGGGTAGTTGTAAATAAGGAGGCAGGCAGGTGGGGGCTGGCTGAGGCAGGACAGGCTCACCATGAGGCAAGGTGAGATGACCACCTCAGGCAACAGGATCCACAGGGACAGCAGATCCCAATGTAGATCTTCATCTTGTTCCTGATAGAGATCTTCAGCCATCCCGTCTTCCCTAGTGGGGAGGTGGGATGCCATTTTGTGGTTTACGACAGGTGCCAAAATGTATTGGGTCAGCCCTGAGTTTAAGGCAGACTAAGATCAGTGGGGCAGCCGCCGACTTGCCCTAATGAACCAGCCTCCATTGATTGCATTGTTGAAAATCATCTCTAGATATTTATTTTCTCCTTGTGATTAGGCTTAGAGACTGCAAGTACATGGTTGTTTCAATGGGACTTGCATCTGAGTAGAAATATTTAGGATTGGGCAGTAAGGGCCCTCTTCACAATACTGTTTATTTGGTCTTTTACCAGCCATTTCATTTGATACGTCTGTTTTCATCGTGCAAACCCTATTAATTTATTTTCTGTTTCAAAACAAAAAGTTCTATGGAGATTTTCCTCTTTGTTGGCTCAACACATTTTGTTAGCAGATGATTTCAAGGGAAGGAAACATTAGCAAAAAAATACTAGCTACCAAGAGATTCGACTAGTGATCAGATTATTAATCCATAATAACTAAACTGAAGCAATCCCTCTGCGGCTGATACATGATAACATTCACAGAGCAATTAATAGAATTGATTATAAAAATCAATCAGATAAGCCCAGTGGCCACGATTAAATCTGCCGTAGGAAGAAAAACACAAAACAGAATGGATAAAGTTTTTGCAGTTGTTTTTAATTAAAATAGGCCTGGGGAATAAGTTTGTAAACTGGATTGAAATGCTACTTAAGCACTCTCAATCAATGCAGGAGTCAGAGGGATTTGTTCTAAACCCCTCACTCTTTTCTTGCTTGTTGTAGCCTAAGGCCATAGCTGTTCAAACAATTAGATTTCACCCTGTGATCAAAAGCAGAGCCTTGTAGGAACATCACAGCATGCCATCATGCAAGGGAGAAAGAGTGCCATAGTTATATGTTAGAGCACATGTTTGGCATGGGGAAGATTGCAGGTTCAATCCCTGGCCTCTCCAGGCAAGGAAGGAAAAGGCTCCTCTCTGGAGTTCTGAGCTAGACATTCCAATGGCTCGATGTCAGCCTTTGTACCTATGTACCTTACTAAAGCATATGCTGATGAAAACCAGTGCTGTTAACCAATTGGAATTTCTGGTCAAGTAAGTTCAACACAGTCCTGTAAGACAGAGTTCAAGGCACAGTCCTTGAAACAGATACACATGTCATGGAGAACAACTATCTGATTTGCATGATGCTGTACATCAACAAAAAATTAAAGAGGTCTCCATAACATGATTGTAATGGGAATACTATCCATACATCTGCCACCCTTAAACCATTTCTTGGCATGAAGTCTTTGTCCCTACAGCTTCATACGTACCAAGTGTCCCGTAAAAACCAGGACATCCTATTTTTTCATGCAAGATTGCTGCCACCATTTTGGGTGCTGAAACCTCACGTGCTCTTGCCCTGAAAAAGTGCTTTTTTCAGGGTGAGATCAAGGCACGGGTCACTTGACTAACCTGGGAGTGCTTCCTGGAAGACACACATCCTTGGTTTTGGTACGAAAAGTTAGATGGTATGCAGCTTGCATCATCAAACTGATGGCGAGAGCTGAATCCTAAACCCAGTTTTAGCATTTCTTCTCTTGCTTCTTCATAGTCTACCCAGTGCTTTTTTCTGGTGGGACGCTGGGGTATGCATACCCCTAAACATTTTGTGAATCTAAGTTTGACCTCATTGAGGGGCAGTATTTCAATATAAGTAGGAAAATGAGAGCACGCCTAAACATTTTATTTATTTATTTAGAAATAAGCACTGAGTGTATCTAATAACATAGCTCGAAAGATTTTAGGATTGTGGCGTCGCCTAAAAAACATAAGAACCACCGTGTTGGCTCAGACCAGAGGTCTGCATAATCAGGAACTCTGCTGTCACAGAGGTCAGTGGG